AGTCGCGGTCAGTTTGTTCCAGTCTTGTATGAAACGTTTCAGGTCCCGAGATATGAGGGAGTCGAAGTCAACATCCAGGAGGGACCAGAGATTCGGGCTGTAGAGAGCCGCCATGACGCCAGTTTTGACGTAGCCGTAGTCGATAAGAGGCTGTTGAAGGGGATGGGGCGGTCGTTAAGATCGTCAATGAGGGTATAGATTGTGTCCTCAAGCTGAGCTGCTGTCTGATTCGGATGGCGCTGGGCAAGCGGGCAAACGGATGGGTTCGCGACACAGGATTGGAATACGGCGCTGAAGGTCTTGTCCGAGTCGGTCCACTGCTCGTAATCGCTATTCAAGATCCATAGTGTAAGCTTTTCGTAAGACTCAAAGGAGAACTTATAGGGTGGAAGACGGGACTCACTGGCCTCGGTAGTATTCGTGAGGATTGAGGTCCCCGTCGAGCACCATTCTGTCGATTCTCCCAGGAAACATTGCCGCGGCCGTTTGCCCCAAAAGCATTCCATCCGAACCGCCTGTAAAATCAAGTCAGTGTTGGATTCCAGCGAGGGAGCACGCAGTCGGAAGGGGCACTTCACTTACCCCAGTACCTCAACAAACCGTCTTTTCCAAGAGCATCAACGATCTTCATCAAGTCCCTGGCGACGAAAGCGCTCCCGACAAGCCCTCCAATCTCTTTGTTGCGCTCGTAGCACTTGTCTGCAAAGAGCTTGGCTGTAGCCCACAACCTGGCAAGCGTCTTGTCGGACGACTACACCCAGAAATCGGAGGCGCCCAAAGTGTTCCACACTTTGGGGTTCTTCATGAAGTAGGAGAGCTTTTCCTGCTCATCTTCGAAGCATGAGAAGGGCAGCGTGTTTCCAGTACCACTATATTCAGGACGTGACTGTCAGCTTTTATCAATCATCTCGCCATGGATAAAGCCACTTCCGTCTGAACGATGACACCTCACCGAGGGTCAAATGTGACGAGATCGTGATGCTCGCTAGTGGCGCTACAAGTGTGTTGTGAGTAGAAGTCCATCAACACACAACACCGCGGAGGGGACTGGTATGATTGCTTGCGAAAGAATTCACCCGACGAAGCTAAGGACGGCCGTCCGGCAACACTAGGCCCGCCAAAGTTGAACAAGATGCTGCCCTTTGAGGGTTGGCGAAGGGCAGGGACCCGGAGAAGCTGGAGCTGGAGCGTCTTATTTGACTCTAGTTCGGTGTAATCTAGCGGGATTGTCAAGTGTGCACATTGGATCAGCTCAGTGCTGTTGAACTCGGAACAAGGCTGCCAGTTGATTTGTCCAGGGTCCAGATTGGCGCCTGTGAAGACTGCATGGGCCAGCAGCGGACTGGCAAGTAGAAAATTTGAGAGAAGTTTCATTCCGTTGATTGACGGAGGAATCAGCACGGAACTCTGAAAGTTTGCGAGGTCAAGTTTGCCGCAATGGAAAGAGGGGATGATGAGCAAGTAAGTGATGATGAGGATGAGAATCACAAATATTCACGACCAAATCCGCAATTTATATGTCGTTTAACCACCCTTGTGCCAACGAAGACCAAGCCATCTCCTTATTATCGTCGCATCATTCTACCTTATACCATCCTTCGCCATGGCATTAGTCCCAAAGGAGCTGTGCAACTTGAACTGACGACGAAATTGGAGAGCTGCCACAATCCCAATAGCCGTATGAGCAGAAAATCGGCCTATAGCTGTGCTGACTTGCCAAGTCACACCATGACCCTCGATTACGCGTGAAGGATTGGGGAACCTTCAAATACCTAACCGGGCAAGACGACGAACTGTCAGCACTGGACGGGGCGGAACAGGGCGGGTCGGCTGAGCCATCGATGCCTCCTCCGAGAACCGTCAGAGCCCGTGCATGGACGCCGTTTGATGCCAGTCCACGCCTCAGCCATATCCTATAAGATGAATTATGGACGCATGGTCTCGGGGGCCTTCAGGAGTGGTTATTAGGGTCAACTACGGGTGCACTGGCAACAGTGGGTTGTGTGGCATAGCTGAAGTTTTGCCCCAACGAGCTTTTCGATAGAGGACTGGTACTAGTGACATCAAATCCATGACAAGATGTAGCATTCTCGCATGGGGATAAACTTCCTGTCTCTCAGCCAGTCGCCGTTGAATGTCCGCATCGGCAGTGAGGCATCCGTCACCTGAGCATCAGTCTTCGTCAAACTTCGAATAATCACTTTGGGCGAAAGTCGTCAAGTGAACGTCGCCTCCGGAGCAGCGCGAAGGCGTTCGGCATTGCCTACAAAACCTACACAGGCATGCAGGCCGGTATTTAGTCGAGTTCAAGCTTTTCGCCGATGCCGGGACAAAGTATCCAAAAGGTGTACTCCGTAGGCAGAGTCAAGACCACGCCCCTAACCCCGAGTCGCGCCATTCCCCGGCACCCGCCGGCGGTCGTACCCGAACCATGGTATACTTTTCGTCCCGGGCGACAAGAGTCAGGGTCACTAGCGCAATGCATGTGCAGCGTGCGCATGCAATGCTGCTCTCCAGACGGTTCCCGAGGGGGGGGGATAGTGTAGGTGCTGCTGCAGCCCTAGACAGCATCAAAGCGGAGTGCACTATTCTTTTTGAGGAGTGACTGAACCTGCAGACAACCTTTAACGCAACCCGATCTGTTGGATTCTCTTACATGTGTCTCAACAGTTTGAGGGCGGGAGCAAAACGTTGGCTGCTCAGCATCGCGCGTTGATGCATGTGTCAGGGCAATGCATCTCATAGCAAGAGGCCTCTCGAAAGACAACAATGGCACGATTTAACTTGTTTGTATTCATTCTCGTAGGCTCCATGTTTCTCGCCGAGATCGCAGCTCCTCACCGCCACTCAGCTCGAAATGAAGCTCCACTGCACATAGCCTTTGTTGTTGCCTCGCAACGATCACCCTGCTAACCTGTAGCCACGCTGTCCCGTAAAAGAGGGTCCACGACGTGAAATGCCTCCGCTGCACAACCCCGGAGTGAGATGCGGTAATCCACTCATACACAAAACAGACAAGCCAGCTCTCGACGTGACAGCCCAAGAGTGTTCTGGCAATGATGCTCCCTAAGCCATCTAGATGCAAACCATAACCCCATCGCAGGTCCGTTGCGATCGATGCAATAACAATTAAACGAAAGGTGGTGCCGGCGGAACGTGTGTTCCTGCTTCGGCTCCCGTGATTCCCATGCTGGTCATTGTCCTCTGTGGACATTGCCGTTATACTAGTAGTGATCCGGCCCATAACATAACATGCAACGCTGGAGAAAAGAAAAACGCCGGTATACCCAATGCCACACGGAAGACGGGTGTTCCAAAAGGCTGAGTAGTATGAGTCGCGAAAGTCGGTTCGGATTGTCCGTGGAATGAAAAGTGTGAAGCCGACGTGAAAGGGGTATAGAATTCAAGTGCTCGGAAGGGGTATCGCGGTGGTGGCGGTCTATACCGAAAGATGGAGAGAGAGGACACGCGCGCGCGCGCACACTCAGTGCTTCTTGTCGGAGCTGGGAGAGTGCTGCTTCGCTTGGTGGTGATGATGCTTGTGGGAAGAGTGGTGCTTGCGGACCTGGGAAGCGTTAGTAAGGCGGGCCAGGTTGCAAAATGACGTTGCGCAGCTTACCCTTTGGCGACCGCGGTGCTCCTCTTCATCTGAAGACCCGTTGCTGAGACGTCTCCGTTCCTCCTCGTACCATGTACTCAAGGACTTGCCGCCGAACATGAGGTCGTCGTCCTCAATGATAGTGGCTTGGATCCAGCCCTGAGAGGCCAGGTCGAACTCCCGAGCGTTAGGGTCCATGGCGTTGACGTTGGGAATAACGTAGTATTGATCTTGCGCCGGTGACATGTTGTGATGGCTTGTGATGATGTTGGCGGCTAGGGGCGGATTTGGTACGTGGGGAGGTATGCAAGCGAGGTGGGATGGAACGGATGACTCCTTTATGGTTCTTTTTGAGTTACTGGTCGATCTCGTGTAGATTGTGAATCGATTAATTGTGTTTTGAAAATATAAAAAAAACCGGGGTGGTCGCGGTACGATTTATTTAAGGCCCCTAAGACAGGGAACGCCGAGTGGAGGAGTGTAGAGTTGGGCCAGCCGACAGGGAAGTCTGGACTCTGGTGTTGGGTATGACGGGACGGTGTGGCAGGAAACTCGACGAAAGCGCACAAAGAAGTCTGGGTGGGCGTCAAATATCGAGGAAGGGGAGCCAGGAGAAACGCTGGAGATGCCCAATTTTCTTTGTTCTGGGGAGCTTGGGGGGGGGGGTAAGAAGAAAGGGTGGCAGGGCGAGATGAGACTTGGCGAGACAGCGCTAGAGGGTGTTTGTTGGCTGGATCGTGAAGGGCGGATTGTGGTGACCGGATCGCGAAAATCGGAGGGTGGCTGACAGTTGGATGTGGACGAGGCGTCGGTGGAGATCGGGGTCTAGACACGGGCACTGCGAAACGGGTGAGATGGTGAAGAGTAAGTGGAATATGTAGTAGGGTCGAAGGAAACAGGAGAGAGAGAGGCCGTCACGACGGACTGATGTGGGCGAGGGCCGGGTTATTATGGATGATGGGATTGTGGGCTCTCGCGTCGAGGCAAGGCAAGGCAAGGCAAGACAAGGCAGCAGGAGCGAGGGTAGGAGAGTGGAGAGAGCGGTGGGAATACATGCCCCTTCCCCGTACGTATGGATTGTGTTCGGGTTGCTCGCGTGGCGGAAAGGTACTTACCTGTATGAATGTACGTGCGTGTGCCGGCCCGTGTGGGAGTGGAGGAAGGGAGGAGACGGAAAGTGAGCAGGAGGGAAGGAGAAGAAGGAGGAGTGGGGGGGGGGGGGGGGGAGGGGTGGACAGGGAAGCCCCAGTCTGTGCAAAGTGGGAAAGAGGGGTGTGTGTGATGACCCGGGGTGGGGGGGTAGCGATGGAAAACGGAGGGGAAAAAATCGAAAACGGAGGGAAGGACGGAACGGTGGGTGGTGGCAGTCTTTCGAATGGATGCTAGGTTGACGTCGCGACCGACTTTTGTGATAATGACAGCAGCAGCAGCAGCAGCAGCAACAACCAAAGACCAGCAGCGTTCTGGACCACAAAACACCAAATTCGAGGCCTAGTGGAAGCCCAAAGCGCACCTTCCAGTGCAAGGCAGCTACCTGGCTGGCCACGTATAGGTAAGCAGGTAGATTAGATATGTAGGCATGTAGTATAGTACACGCATGCCGACACGCTGGGCGGACCCCCGTCAGCCAAGTCAGGCCCAAAGGGACTGAGGATATGCAGCATTACCGAGGACGGGAGCGCAACTGGCACCCGGACTGTTGATGCTGATGCTGATGCTGATGCTGACGCTGATGCTAATACTGGAATGAATTGCAGATGTACCCAAGTAAGATAGATGCGGGGTGTTCCGGAACAGGAAGTGCACTTGGGGGGCACAGCCGTCTTCGGTCGTGATGATTAGACTACCTGGACTGCCCGGCTGACGAGAGTCTGTGCCCAAGACGGTCGAAGCCGGCCATGTGGCTGCAACTCTATGCTCTTAGCACTGCCGCGTCTAGTGGATGGAATCGATCTTTCGGTGTCGGAGGAGCGATGGCCCGGAGGCCTGGGCCTGTTGTTGGCGTTCGGCCCTCATAAGCACCGCCTGGTCTACCTGATTAGGTGCCTAAGTACGGATAGATAGCGGCCAACGACGATTGCCTTTAGCGAAGGTCGAGTTGACTTCTCGGCGTTTAAGTATCCGGGCAGCTGAATGCCTAGGCTAGGCCCAGGAGGGAGGAGGATGGTCAATTAGGTAGGTAACCGGTTAGGTAGGTAAGGTAAGCTGATCTGAGACGGAATCGACATGACACACAAACTACCTACCTACCTACCTATCCGTACATGCCTACACTCGGTCCACATACAGGCTGGATTGCCTTGACTGAACGAACAAACAGGTGCACTGGCGATTTACCAATACCAGCCTTGGGTACGGACTGGCTACTAAAACTCCCAAGTAGGTAGGTAGGCTGGAACCAGAAGACAGTCTAGTCTCTCCAAGCGGTCTTTCTTTTTTCCACCGGAAGCTGGGTGTTCCGTTTGGTAAGAACAAGAATAGGAAGAAGGCGTACAACAACCGAACAAAGTGCTGCGTACCGTAGCGTCGTGACAGATCAGCGCAAAGACGGTGTAGGAAAACCATTACTTGGACGGAGCCGCGGGGATTTTCTTTCTTTTTTTGCGCATCATGTCGCATCTGTATCAGAGCTGACTGACGGGAGGCGAAATGTCAGCATGTCAGGATGACAGCGACTGCATAGGTAGTACACGATACTACATGACATGACTGAGAATGATTGATTGTAGCCAGCGATGATGCTCGCTCGGTAGAGACGAGACACAGGGTCCCAGCCCAAACCTGGCGCGGGCGGCCAGTGGTGACGCGCATCGTTCTCATCTGGGAGGAAACGGCCATGGACCGCGCATTGTCGGGAATGGCCAAAGTACCTCCACACTGTCGTGCTCCGCAGATGTACATCCAGTCCGTCACTCTCTTACACAGGAGTAAACCTTGGGGCGCATGTCCAGGGGCTTTCAGGCCATTTTCTTACGCGAAGGGGACTCAGGGCTCCGCAGCAGTCAGGGGACTCAATCAAACCTCGACCGTGTGCAATGGGCAAGCTGAGGCCAAGGGGCGGCGCAGGGGCGACAACATTCCATCGCGATAACGGGCTGCAGAGACGGCCAAGTCCTCGACGAAACCAACACAAACACAATCCCAGCGAACGGATAAGGATATGTGTATCCGTACGAATACTTTGTCTGCATCTGCACCGCATCAGACGGGACGGTGCCGACGGACGGTTAACACCTTCTCAATGTGCCTGCCTACCTTATCTAGACCTTATCTAGGTACCGATACGTTCAGATAGATACGTATAGATAGATACGTACCGGCCGCGCTTGCACTCACCTACCGCCCACCGCTGCTTTCCGTCTTACACCGTTACATACCTTACTACCTACCGTCTCCGTCTCCGTCAGGAAATCGCGGTTCATTTCATTCGCTTCCACACACCCTCGACGCCCGATGCTTGATACACGCTCTCTCTCTCTCTCTCTCTCTCTCTCTCTCTCTCTCTCTCTCTCTCTCTCTCTCTCTCTCACACACACACACACACACACACACACACCGAATCATTGATTGTCTGCACAGTTCGTCTCGAACTTTGCCGGATACACCACATCCAATATCCCTCGCTGCATGCCGGCCCCTTTCCTCTTTCTTTGTTGGTCTACCGTATCAGTCCCCTGTTGAGGAGGCCAAGAACCCAGTCGCCGATCGTCCCAAGCTTACGCCTTGGCTTGTTTCTTGTTCCCGCCACACCAGCTGCATCGTTGAGCCTCGACTACCTGACTCGACGCTGCTGGTCAAAATGCCAAGCTGGTGGGTGAATTGCCTCTCGAATCCTTTCCAACGGAACATGGCCGACAAACATGGCAAGGCTGCTGGGGTGAGCTAGGCAAAAACTTTTTGAAAAAAATTCCACATCAAACGTCGCATCATCGTCGAGGCATACGGATAAACATCGCCACCAGCCTTATCCCAATATGCCTTGACTCTACCACCCTCGCCGATTTGCGCATTCATCTGGCAATATGACGCATCATCGGACAAAACGGCGATGGATGATGGATAGATGATCTAGTCGGCACAATCTCCCCCATCTCTTGGCTTGGCACCTCTTGCCCCTTGGTCTGTGGTCTACCGCAGCAGCACCACCACACACTACATGCCTACTTAGCACAATTAGTGCATCCTCCTTATCGACCTTGCCAGGCTGTACGGACGGGCCAACCCTGCAATCAAAGACGGGACACGGGCACTCTTGTCGTGAGCCAGCCGTCGCTTGATGCTCCGAAGGTCGGATTCAAGACCAAAAACAGCCCTCGGTTGATGGGTCACGGCTACACAGCCCGAAGCTGACTGGAGATGTGTCAGTGTCATCCATGAAGAACCCACCCCGTCCAGGGCGAACAAGCCGCCGATTGTCATCTCGCCTCTTGAAGCATCTGGGGCCGCGAGTCCATGCTTTCTTGAAGCGCAATTTTATCGGCCCAGCACCCACGATCAGTTCTCCAGAAATATTATCACGCCAGACGATATAGATAGATCGTCTCGTATCTCTTCATCTTGTTGGCCTGGCATCTCAGCTCCTGGAGCCACTCTGGACCTCGGCGCGTCATGCCCCTCTTCCTACCCCAAGCATCCCCTCATTTCATCCAAACAGCCGTCGGCGCAGCCATCCACTAATATCAGTGTCAATGCCAACCCGGCCGCCAGCACCAACGCGAAGCTGAGAGACGGACGTGAACGGAATAGCCAGCAATTGTGCAGTCGTCCTACACTGAAATGTCCACCAGTCGTACGAAAGTCGTCATGCCGTATCGTTGTACCGCCTTTCCCGCCTAGCCGTGCACGTCAAGAAGAAGAGGCGGGACAGACCAACACCCAGGCTGTTTCCACGCCGAATCCGAGACGAATGGTGCCCTGGAGGCCGTTGCCTCGTATCCTCATTGCGCCCGTCACCTCGTCCTTGACCCCCGTATGTGAATCAATGAGGGAGGAGTCCCGCGTTGCTAGCCATGTTACACCAAACAGAATCCAGCCATCATGTCTTGTCCGTGGCATCTAGTCCGAAAGCCCATCTCATCTCGGCTGGCTGTGCTGTTGAGGCGCCTTTATTGGGCAGTAGTAGCCTGTCTGACCCTGCGAGGGTTGGATTGGCCTCATTTTCCCCCTCGGTTTCGCGTGTAACGCATCCCCAACCCGATGAATTGCGCGACCTGGATTGAACTTCATGACCTTGTCTTCGCGTTGGGGGGGATTGGTACAACGGAACACAGCGAGTAAACAACCAAAAGCGGCATCGCATTCTTCCTAATCCATGACTCCCGCCCACGTTTTCCGACATGAGCCAATACGATAACCTTGCTGACCTCGTTGGGCACCTCCGTTTGCCAGAAACCATCTTACGGCATATCGCAAATACCGTTAAACCGCCAGACGGTGACATGTAACATTCGATTACACTTCCTACAGCCGGCGGACTGGTGACACTCTCTTGACTCAACGGTGGCCTCCTGCCCAATTTGGTCACAGGCGACCATCGCGATAATGTCATGGCGTTTACACCTGGACCAGTGGACGGACCGGCGAGCCTAATGCTCGTGACGTTTGGCCAAGTCATCTGCTTGCCACCCACCCACTTCGTAGCCGCATCCCGCGCCACGGAGCCAAGATCAGTATACCAATCCCCTTCTCCAACATGATCCGTTGCTAGCCTGGCTACTCGAACCGGTGGACGTCGAGGCCGCCAGGCTTTTGTCAGCAGCATCCCGCCTTTTCGACTGATAATCAAGCGCAGTCCTCCCCTTTTCCTGGACCAAATGGCGGGACGAGCATCCGTCTCCATCATGCCATGTACCCGCATACATAGAAGCTCCGTCTGTGGCTAATGCTTACTGGGGGTTGGTTTACTGCAGCACATTGGTTGTGCTTCCCGCCCCCTCGTAGCATACCGGGGCTCAGGGGAATTCTGTGCATCAGGGTCCTTTGTGGCCGGGCGATCGCTGGGACCCCGCGTCGTCGAAGGAGGGTGTGCCGACGGCGACGGGAGGATGCAAACTTGCAGCGAAGCTGGAGAACGATAACCCGCCAGACCGTAATGGAGGGGGGCGTGCTCGGTGTGTTTCGGCGCCATTTCACCGCCTGGTCCGAGTCTGCCCGACCTCCAGAGCCGCCCGCTCGCTGACCGTCGGATTCCAACCAGTTCCTGTCACCGTTCCAAGCTCCTCCGTTTCACACGCAGAACCGGACCGTATATTGTACCAATGTAGATACAGGTGGTGCGGGAGACTTTCTACCGCCTGACTCTCTACTGTCGGAGCACTCACAAAAAGATCGTCTCACGTGCCCGAACTGCTGGGGATACACACACCAAGAGACTCAAGAATTACCGCAGGGCACCGACTCAGTTATCCACCACCCGGGCGACAAAAAAGATGGCCGGTTGCCATGTAGTAATGGTAAGGAAAGGCGGCCATCTTTTTTGTCACCCGGGTGCTCACCTCGCACCACCCCGAATGAAACGGCCTGAATCAGTTTCCGTGGGATCGCCAAAAGCCCGCGACTCAACCCAGTCCCGTGCACGGAGTGTTCAATCAGAATTTGCCATATGCCGAATAGTGATTACGACTCCCGGCAACATGGAAAAGCCAAGAGGTCAAGGCCACGGTTGGATGTTCGTCCACTTGCCGTCACTCTTCGGACCAAACCCAGCAATCGCCTTGGTGCTTCCTGTGCGCATCTCTTTGCTCTGGCACACAGGGCAAAACACGGCGTTCGCAGAGTTGACGTGATTGACCCGTTGTAACTGACGTTTCGCTCGTCCCCCTTGGCGCGCCACAGAAAACCTAGAATCTGCAAAGAAGCATCTGAACCGTCGGTCACAAGCCGCCTATATTATTTGATTCAAGTATCGATGACAGTGCCGGCTTTTTGCGCCGGGCCGCGCCTGGCGAGGCACTCAAGGTCGTAGTGAGGGCCAAACTAGTTGAAATGTGTTGGCTAAGTGGGGAGCCACATGTAAAGCACACCTAGTGTACGGATTCTAAATCTCGATTGCGCCTTATCACCAGGCATCATCACCTGAAGAGCTGCCTTGACCAATCCTCGGTGAAGGTGCGGGGATCAAGGATTGCAGAAGAGGCAGCGACGGTCACGAGGAGAGAGCCTTGTCGGCACGCACAGAGGACAAGCTGACCGCGTTCAGACCCGGCGATCAGTCAGCAGTTGTACTGAATAATTCGTCGAGATTGGCCTTTTGCAGTTGTGGCATGCTCGCATGACTGACGCCTCGCCGGACGGCATCGCCATCCTATTGGTCAGTGACTTCGGTTTGGATCTCATCTGCCTGAACAGTTTGGGACGTTTGATGTCCAATGCCATAAAACAACCGTAATGGGGAATTCAACATATCTCTCGCCGGCGGGTAATCGCGACTCCCGGGGAATGACTTGTCGGAATATGTCCCGGAAGCGTACGCGGCGCCGGCTATGGGCTACGGTGACGGCGATCCTACACTCTTCGAGGGATAACTACCGTACCGTACCCGCAAGTTCCACAAGATCTACAATGCGCCGAGGGAAACATGAAGCGCTGGTGGCTCCGGCCCCTGGTTAAGTGATTGAGTTGTTCGTTACCCAAGAGCGTCGTTTCGTAAAATGGGGGGGGGGGGGGGGGGGGGTGGCTAACATGTGGAAACTCGGTTTTGACAGCACTTCAAGATACAGTGGATAAACTCCGCTAGAGTAAGGGAACATTCATCTTGCCCCCAGCAAGTTGTTTCTCACATGTGGCAAAGGCACAAGAGGGGCGATGCAACGCGGCGAATAAACGGCGAGTCAACAACCAATCCAACCGTGAAACACGGCATTTACTCACATCAGCTGGTAAGAATCAACAAGTAGTTTTAACACACACAAAGACGGTGGACTGTGGGAAAAAGGAAAAAAAAAAAAAAAAAAGGGGGGGGGGGGGGGGGGGGGGGTGCTCCAGACAGCAGGTTCATATCGCGAAATGAGACGCGCGACGCGAAGCCAGGCGTCGTGGCCATGACGTCAACCACGGTGGAGGGTTCGTTCTTCTCCAGTATCACAAACTATCAAGAAAAAAGTAGTGTCTTTTCTGCAGCCTCTCTGGGTTCTCGCCGGGAGGGACCAACCCCGCCGGCCAACTGGTCGTCCATGAGTTAAGAGTTCGGACAGGTATAGTGACGGCATTGTGTCCCGCTTCTGGGGCGGCGTTTTCAGGGATCCTGTTCAACAGTGCCGCGCGCAGGGGGAGAAAGTTGAGCAAGAGGCTTGTTCTTCATTGCGCGTGCGTTTCCTTGGGAGAGGCGTCGCAAGGCAGGACGCCTGCGATGACGTCAGTGCAGAGAAAATGGACTTTGTTTACGGATACTGGCAATGCAATACCATACCCGCACAGACCGCAGCAATTACCCTATGCGGCACCGCTCGGTGGGGAAGGGGAAAGGGCTGAACGTGTCAGTTGAATGCAGCAGCCCGGAAGCCTGGCAAAGCTTAACGGTCTCGGGGTTCCTCGCCAGGGGGCGTTGTTGCGCGGCAGTGGTTTTTATTTTCTTCTTCTTCAATTTAGACTCATCAATGACAACCGCCCTACGTACCATGTAACGCAAATCACTTCCAACCAAGGTGCCAATAGGGCGGCTGCGTAGGGGTTGCCGGGCATAGATAATGTCATATAGTGTCATTCATGTACTCTACTCTGTATCTTGATACTACGTGCTGTCGTGAAGCTGCTACGGAAAGGTGAAAGTGACGCCGCTGAAAGCTCCACAGAACAACCCCCGACGTCACTGGCGGCGATCGTTGCAGGTTCCTGAACCGCACGGCACTGCAGAAACGCTAACTCGACCTCCACCTCCATTACATGGCAAGACGATCAGAAATAGCGTCCTGAAGTATTCCGTAACCGGACTCATCCATCGTCTGCGGGCCAAGAACCGCCGGGCGTGGGGAGTGGTGCCGCGTGATGGGCTTACAGACCGACTTACAAGACGGCGTCGCTGGCGCTGATGTGATCGCCGGGTGTCTGTCTCTCCAGCTAACCATAGCCCGCCTCGCTCCACCCTCCCCTCCAAAATTAGACGGCGCAGGCATTGATTGGCAGCCCTGCGCGGTTCCAAAGAGAGTTTTTGAGTTGCGGCGGCTCGGATCTAAGGGGAACATTGCGAATCCTGTCGGAGACAGCGAGGCAACAATAAACTTTTACACTTTATAGTTCTTCGAGGAACGTGGGGGGAGGCCTTCGGACACCTTGCTCCGGTGGGCTGTTTTGCATGAAGCGATTACCCTGTGTGTTATCATTATGAGAACACTGCTAGCAACCCAGCAAGGGGGAAAATTGAACGAGGGGACCGTGCCGCCCTGCCCTTCTGTCGCGGTTGCATAAACCGCCAGAAGTTTCCGTGTCGAATCCCTGCCCGAGCTCGATCGCGGACGATGAGATCGAAGGTACGCGAAGGGATCGAAGACACCTCTCCACCCTCTTCCCACCACTGCGGGTGTGCAATTCCTCTTACTCGCGGCCGCTTTAGGGGGAAACGGAGGTACCAAACTGATTTTGCGGGGGGCCGAGGGCGTGAGAAAGTGTTTGGCGAGATGTGTAGGGCGGAATGACAAGACGACAGGTTCGCCAAGGAAGGCCGAGCTATCCGTAGGGCGGAAAAGAGAGAAACCAAAAGAAAAAGTCGAGCGTGGATTCCTTTCCTTGGTTTTGAATTTTCGTCCCTTTCTCCCTCTTTCTCTCCCGTCCATCCCCCCCCCCACCCTTCTCTAGAATTCGACATATTCGACCGGGGGGGGGGGGGAGGGGTTCCATGCAGAGTTCTTTTGGCCCCGCCCCCCCTGTGAAGACCGGCGGCTACCGCGGATCGGGGCCCCCCCATCGGTAGGCGGAGAGGTGGGGTTTCCGTGACCGGTATGCCGTCGGCATTCCTCGGCAGACCCTCATCGACGGACGTTCATGCCTGGTTTCTGTCCAGTGGGAACTGTGGTCTTGTTTTTTTGGCACCATGTTTGTGTCAGGATTTCCGGCGACGTTTCTTGGCCTTCAGCTCTTCTTTCGTCTTTCAACGTGCTTGCCCGTCAGACGTCTGGTGCTCGGGCTGCGTTGCTGCTAAAAGAGTAGAGAGAGGGGGGGCATTGTCACTGTCCCCCTCCGCCGGGGGAAAGAAAACAAAACGTCAGCCGCGCATCCTCCAGCTTTGAAGTACGGCGGGCTGGGAGCGAGGTGAAATGCCGTGAAAAGGGGACGAATGCAAGAGTGATTGGACCATGTGCCGTCCCGCCCTGCTCGCTAGCTGGCGAGATACTGTTTCGGTTTCGGTTGAGAGGTGAGCTCGAGACCAACTCGGGACTGCGCGTCCCCTGACTGCTTCGAGTCTTCCTGGCCCGTAGCGCACAATGATTGGGATATGCCCTAGTTGACACCTCCGAGCGGCCGGCAACGAGTAAAACGGCTCCCACGGCACGGTCGTTGGCAACGTAGAATGAGAGGACCGAGGGGTCTGACCAGTGACTTTGATTGATATGGTGGAAAATCGATGGTAAATGGCCTATTATGCTTACTCTTGGACACGGTATTTCATGGTCCCCTCTTGTCGTAGAGAAGGCTTGGTTCTCGTACTGACCCACACACTGCGAAGCGCCCATCATCTCGAGACAAACGGAAAGATCTCTGAAAAGGCGGCTTTGCTTGAATGTAGTAGATGATATGTGTCCATTAACGCCGTAGCTTATCAACGAGGCTCGCCATGACATTACGCCGTGCAGAAACGTCCATAAAGGAAACCATCACCTCTAGCTCTCGAATCTCGGGGAACAGTATGTGCTAGAACAATGATCACTCTTTCTTCCCCTTGCTCTCCTTTCCTTCGTCCTTGGCTTCAGACTCGGAATCGGACTTGTCGGCATGCTTCTCTTCCTCGTTGCTCTCTTCCGTGTCGTCCTCCTTGTCCTCCTTCTTGTCTTCCTTCTTGTCAGCGCCCTTCTCTTCCTTCTTATCCTTACCCTTGGAGTCATCCTTCTTGGTGCTCTTCTTTTCCTCCTCCTTGCGCTTCTTCTCCTCGGCCTTCTTCTTCTTCTTCTCCTCTTCCTCCTTCTCCTTTCTCACCCGCTCCTTCTCTTCCTG